TAAGTGTAGAAGTTTTTCTGTTTTAGGGATCTGAGTTTGTCGTATTTTCCGCTTGGAAGGTTGTTATTGCTTATTTTCAGAATAATAGCTTCATTTCGAGGTGAAAATTTTCAGTTCTAGATGGTTGTAGGAAACTGATCATTTTGGGATCATTGATTTTGCGTTGTAATGTAATGAAGGTTGGATTTCATTTTTAACGAGATAGCGCAGAAGGAAGTGGAGGGGTTAGGTTGGGATCGAAAATCTAATATGAAACCTAGTTTCTGAGCTTGTTAGGAGCTCATTTTGTAATTATAATTATGGGTTTATGAATTGGTTAGACTCGGGTGGATTTATGGTATTTAAATAACATGGGGTTGAGAGATTGGCAAACTTAGGGCCTCGGAGAGTTTTTCTTTTTCATCCTTTTGATGATCTTCTAGCTGGTAGTGCTAGCTGGATTAGGTACTAATGGTTAGGAGTTGATATTTCAACTACAATTTATAAATACCTTTATTTTTTGCAGTAGGTTTTAGTAGCTGATTTGAAATTTCCTGCTTTGTCTCCTATTTTATGGCTTTTCCTTGTAATTTGACATTAAAAACTGACCAGATCAAAAACCATGAACTGAGATTGATTAGCAAAAGAAATGATATTTTAGGATTGATGATTTGATTACACAGCTTTATCAGGTTTACAAGCTGAATGTAATTAAAAGTGAATAGTATTTAACTAACTGTTTGAAACATTGTTGGTTTTGTTATTTTATAATATAAATCTTTTGTATAATATGTATATTTGTTATTTTAATGTTAAGTTTTAAGTTAACAATAAGTTCCATAATATTTCGTTGAATTTTGTATTTACGTTGATTTTAGGGGCCTAATTTATGGATTTCGCCTCGAGCTTCGACAATCACCGGACCGGCCCTGGAAACAAACGCTGGGAATCTTGATCTCGTGTGGTGTATATATACACACACTACAAGGATGGCGGATGGCACTTCATTGGAGAGAAATATTTCCTAGATTCTTGTATACTTGCCTTGATCATTGCTCAAGGATGACAATGTGTATATTCTACTGTACAATGAAAACGGTTGCAATTTGATAATTAATGGGAGGGGTGACCGTGGGGGGAACACATTTTCATTTTAAACCACACATCATGACATTTTTTATTAATAACATAAACAAGAGAATATAATCCCTCACCTCCATGTGGAGAGAAAAAATGAAGAACTTGACCGTTTAAATGGTTAAGCAAATTACATCGATTCCTTACTGACCATCTAGCCTATATCCCAGGTCCCAAGCCAAACCACAACCCCATTAAAGAGGTATCGGAGTATCAATGTAACAGTAGGATCAAGAATTGGGAATGCAATAGTAATTATTTTGAGGGTTGACATTGTAAAAAGTATAAGGAATATCATTCATTCAATCTGTCAAAAACACAATTAAATGTGCGTTATTGTGAGAACTTTAGCCATCATAGTGGAGTGAGTGTCACCTCCTGCAGCAGCTACGGCCTTTGCGAGCGAATCTGAACAGCGGTGAGTGCGGCCACGCGATTGGTTTGCGGCTATGGGATTATTGAGGATGAAGGTGGATAGATTTGTGTAGGTTCCGATATGAGATCAGCGCTGCTGCAAGAATACTGGCGTTACTGCCCCAGTCTAGTCTGTAGGGACGTGCTTCTCAGACGGATCATCAAGTGATCTTCGCCCATTGTCCGGAGCCTTCTGACAGAAGTACTTAGACTCAACAGAATGAATACTTTGACATGGTATAATCTTTGTCTCCTTTACAAGGATGAGGGTGGTGGTATTGGCACTGGAGGTTGCTGAATGTTTTGACGTGGCTGCACTCCTTGAAGAGACGAAACCTATTCAGCCTTTCAGATGATGAGCTATTTTGTAAATTTCTCGTGCTTTTGATAAATTCTCAATGTATTATATCCACATGGTAGGTGGTGGCGATTGACTATGGTTGTGACCAATTATTTGGGTGCGATGGTGTTAGATCGGTTGTGGAGCTGGTGGTGGGGTGGCTTTTGTTTGTAGAGGTGGTGGTGGTGGTGAATCTGGCATGGATGTGTTGATAGGTGGTGGTTTGTTGGTGGTTGTGGTGGTGAAGTGGCAGGGGATCTGGTGTGACAATTTGGTGGTGGTTTTTTTTTTTTTTTTTTTTGGAGTAGTGGTGGTGGTGGATTTGGCAAGGGGTGGTTGGCAGTGTTACAGCGGATGGAAAGAGTGTTCATGACCAATTATGTTATGATTATTTTGTAATCGATAAATAATATGTGATCAAATATGTGATCGTGACTAAATTTATAATATGTGACCTAAAATTTGCGACTGCGACTTACAATTAATTAAGTTTTGACCAAAAAATTTAATCGTTACCAATTAATCTAATAATTTGAAATGAATATATGAGTTGTGACCAATAAAAGTTGTGATTTTGTGACCAATGAATAATCTTTGACCTATAAAAAAATTTATTCATGACCGAAAAATAATATGTAATCTATAAAATTTGTGATTTGTGATTGAGAAATAAGTTGTGACTAGAAATTAATCCATGACTAATTAATTTTTTTATTTGTGACCGATAAACAAACTGTAACTTGCAAAATTTTTGAATTGTGATCGTAAAATAATTTGTGACATAAAATTTTTGATTTGTGACCAAAAAATAATAAATTAGTAATTAAATTGTGAATTCGTGATCAAATTGTATAGATCTGTGATCTAAATATATTAAATTAATAAAATAATTAAATCATAAATAAATTTAAATAAAAACCTGATTTTTTAATTTTTAAACTTGTTTTCTTAATTTTGAAATATACCATACTTATAGGGTGTTTGAGAGATATTTTTATGTAAAAATGCATTTTTGAATAGTAAATTGATGGGAAATGTGTGGTTGAAAAATAAGGAAAAGTGTTTGATTTATGTGTAATATTATTTTAATAAAGAATGTGTGGTTGAAAAGAAAAGAGAAAAAAATACATTTTGAAAAAAATGGATATCAAATGGGGCCTTAAACTCTCACTTATGAAATTTTTCCAATTATAAATACTGCTTATATAATGATTTAGGCTTTTAGATTAAGTTTTCTGTTCTTAAATGGTATAGCCCAATTCTCTTTTGAAAGGCTAATCAAGTTCATCTGAGAGTAAGAAGGCCTGCCAATGTTTTTGTGCGTAAACAAAACTTGGAACCATTCAAGTGGATAGAAATTAGTTACCCATTGATACTTCAACACTAAAAAAGGCTACAAGAAGCACAAATTTAGATGCTTAAAAAAAGGCTGCTCATACGAACAAGAATTGTTCATATCAAAATATGGAAAATAAAAAATAAGAAGAAAAATGGTAGATTTATCTTAATAAATCTAGATCAACCAATGTACTGATTATTTGAGAAATCAATAAACTTCCCAACTACAAACAATAAGTTTGTAAAAATTAGATGCAGAATGAGTCGCATGGTCATATTATATACACGATTTTGAAATAGATAATTACTAGTTCGATCCCAAAATCACCTAGAAGGGATGAATAAGTGAATAACTCGAGATTAAAATTATCAATTAAAAGCAACAATTCACCATTTAATTAATTTAGAAATGTTGAATTACAACAATAGTAAATAAAACAACAAATAATACAAGATTTATTGAAGGACAAAATTCTTCATTGGATTAAAAACTCTTGGACCAAACAGGGGACTTTCACTATAAATAATAAGAACTTACAGTATAATCCAGCCTAAAAAATCCATTAGACTCGTTGCAATATCCTGAACTCCTTGGAATGTGCTTCACCTACACCTCCTCCCATTCTTCTAGAATTGTCTCTCCTGTGATCACCAAGAACACCATGTTCTTGTACTTTTCCTATGCTTTTGGTCCAACCTCCTGAATTTCTAGGTACAACACCTTAAAGCGTGATTTTCCACCTTTTTTTTTCCTAGGGGATAGGTGGTTTTTGGTTTTCCACCTTTTTTTTTATTTTTTTTTTGCTTTTTTTATTTTTTTTTAATTGTTGGCAATGGGAACAAATTTTAGGAAAAATTGTAAAAGAGGATATCCCTGAAATTGACAATTTCCACGTAAAACAAAGTCAAACGAACATCAAAAAATACTTTTACTTCAACATTTTCCATGTGAAAAATTTATACAATCAAACACAATAATTTACAATTTCCATGAAAACAATTTCTAGGTAATTCAATTCCTTGAAATTCGTTTTCTTTCCATGTAATTTTCCTACTTGTAATCAAACGCACCCTAAGATTTAAACTTTGTCGCCTTCTTTTTTTGGCATTTTGAAATATTATGATAATATTAATTTAATTTTCTAAATTCAGTACAGTATAATTACAAGGAGTACAAAAATTAGGAAAAAATATTACTAAATCAAGCAATATAAAATATTTGACGAATTTTCAACTAGCTTTATTAAATTATTTTTCTAAAGCATTTATCTACGTAGATTCGTTAATTATTTGTTAGTTGTATTTAACAAATCTAATAGATTTAATAATAAGATTTATAATGGTATTATTTTAACTAAAATGATTTCATCTAAATGAAAAGTATGAAAAAGTATATATTAAGCAATAAGAAAAGAAAATATATGATTTAAGTTAATAATATAACATTTTAAAAATAGAATAAATGGGTAAACTGGAAGGTACATTTACTTAGTTGACACTAACAAAATGTAAACCCCATGGAACGTTTCTGAAATTTTTGAAGAGAGAGAGATCACTCTTAATGCCATAAACCTCAGAAGTGTTTGATGTAATTTGCTCTAGAAATTAATTAGATAAAAATGAAACTAGGAAGAAAGGATATCACTATGTAGAGATTATTTATAGAATAATGATAATTGTCCATATTGAATCTACTTGATTGGATTTAATAAAATTATTTATAGGCATGGGCGAAAAAGAAAAATCAATGATACATAGAGAGATGAAATACAACCTTATGACGGGTTGGGGCTGGAGCGCAAGTTGGGGGGCGGGGGTCGATCTAGAATTACTTAATTTAAAAGTTTAAATTGTTCAAAAAAAGGACAAATCTATGAAATCCCTTGTGCATAAGCAGTATTTACTTTTTAATCAAAGACTTACCATGTACGAATTTTATATAAATGGATGGCATTGGTACTTGAATTCAAGATATTTATTTAGTATGATACTATGTTGAATCACCTTATTTAGAAAAACCATAAAGTGAGGGATTGTGGAAAGGGTGTAGCACAAATTATATCCCTACAATTTAAAAAGCAATGTAGCACAATTATTCTTAGAATACCACAAATAATCTTATCTAAAAGCTCGATCAACTCAATTGGGGCTCTATATTTTAATAGTTTTATTGTGTCATGTTACGAATTAGTAATAAACTTCTTAAGATGCCACATGTTATGTTCCGTGATTACTTTCTGATTATTTTGTACCTCCTTTATTCGTCAAATTAGTGAAGAAGAGAAGGAAAAAAAATTAAACAATTTATATTATATATTAGTACAAAAACTACAAGTTCTTATAAGAAAACCGAGAGATTTTCACTCTTAATCAAAAAATTAAAAGACAAAAGTGAAAATTACAAGAAGATATTCCCCCATAAGATTTGACATTTGTTCTCCCAATTGTCTCCACCTCTTCCAGCAAAACTTGCAAATTTCCCGGCAGCAAATTGCTTGATTGTCTTTCTTTGGTAACACAAACTGAAACAAGATATTCGTGTAAATCTTGCTAAACATCTTCTTTGCACTTTTATGTCATTTCATTTCAATCAATTAAAAATTAAAATAAAATCACTAATGATTTTCATGAATAGTCGCTTCTAAATCATTACGTTGTTAATTGATTTTTGTCACTTCATATATCCTTAATTCTCAAAATTAATTTTCACATAAGACTTGACGTCAAGTTCTCTTGCTCTCATTTTTTCGACCAAATTAAGTTTGTCGTGATTAATCATTCATAAATTTCGTTGTGTTGGATAACATAGCTGAAAATCTCGAATGAGAAGTTATCTCAAATTATTCATAAACTCTTGGAATGTGTAGGCATCCAAAAAAGAGAAACACGAGAGACTCCTTAATATTTTTCTATTTGCTTCTAGTCGTACACATTATTTCATAAAAACAAAAAGAGAAGAGGGGAAAAAAAAAAAATAATAATAATAAAAGTCTCAAACCCCAGTTTCACACGTGTATAAGTATATATGCTATGCATAGACAATGAAAAGAGAGATTCACAACTTGACGTCAAGTTCTCTTGCTCTCATTTTTTCGACCAAATTAAGTTTGTCGTGATTAATCATTCATAAATTTCGTTGTGTTGGATAACATAGCTGAAAATCTCGAATGAGAAGTTATCTCAAATTATTCATAAACTCTTGGAATGTGTAGGCATCCAAAAAAGAGAAACACGAGAGACTCCTTAATATTTTTCTATTTGCTTCTAGTCGTACACATTATTTCATAAAAACAAAAAGAGAAGAGGGGAAAAAAATAATAATAATAATAATAAAAGTCTCAAACCCCAGTTTCACACGTGTATAAGTATATATGCTATGCATAGACAATGAAAAGAGAGATTCACAGACACGCCGACCGGTGAGAAGACTATGGTATATATTTGCACAAGTTGGTGGGCACAACCCACCAAGAATCGCAGCCACCGAAAGCCATCTTATTCTTGATCTTTCCATCAGAGAATATATTTCGAGACTGACTGGAATTAAGAATCTGCAGAATAAATTGACCACTCTTAATTCTACAAGATTTCTTCTTTTGTTGCAAGTTCACTGCCAATCTGATGAACACTGTATGGTGGAAAATCAACTAAAATTTTCAAATAATTCTTGATCTGACATATTTGAGCAGCAAGAATAATCCGTGTGTGTTTTTTTAAAAGTATCTCGTTAAAAACTTAAAATTACCACGTCACTGGATTCATTTCTTGACCTGGGAAATATCCTTTTTTGGGGAAAAAAAAAAAAAAATCCCTCCAACTCTTGCTATTGGAATATAAAAAGTATAACTGACTAAAGATCACGAGAATTTAAGAGATTCGGTAAATATTACTTGGGTCTTCGGACATGGTAAAATTACCCACAATTAGGAGTTCTGGAAAAGATTTTCCTACATCAAATAGTAAAATGAAAAAAGTGATCAAAGAGTGTTGTTAATCTCCTAAGAGCTCCATACTCCTTTAGTCCTTCTTTTGCTTGGTGTGTTTTCCACAGTTGAAGGCTCTTTTTATAGTTTCCTTAAGAGACTTACCTTCTAATATATAAGCCATTATTCCAACTGTTATTTAGGTAACGGTAGAATATTTGTCTTGTCTCATACCGTATTTTATTATCAACGATGTTTTTCGAATTCAACCTGCTGTGTGCAGAACAAAATATAATGCATAAGTATAGTATCCATCTTGAAAAAGTAACTTTAGTAGGTTTTGGCATCTTAGAAAACCCGTCTTCTTTTGAATGTTCTGTTTGGAAAAACTAGTCCACATTCTCTGATGTTTTATATAAATAGATTAGCAAGAGAGCTCATCTCTAAGCAAGCTTCAACTTTTATATTTCTTTCCTTCTCAATTTCACATTTCCCTCCAATATACAACCAAAAAATCGGATCATATATAAAACAACTCGGAATTGTATGATCTGATAAATAGGTTGAGATAACTCATTTCCAGTTCTTGAAAATCCCAAAAAAAACTTGTTCTAGTCGATTTTATAGATATCTAGCACACTGGTCGAGTCATCCCATTCCCACCCACATGGACAGAGTAAGAAAATTGGCATCAGAAAAGGGAGTATTGATCTTCAGCAAAAGCACATGCTGCTTATGCTATGCTGTACACATGTTATTTAAAGAAATTGGAATAAAACCTTATGTTCATGAAATTGATCATGATCCAGAGGGAAAGGAAATTGAGAAGGCACTACTAAGGATGGGTTGCAATGGCCCCGTCCCGGCGGTGTTTATCGGAGGAGAACTGGTGGGATCCACCAATGAAGTCATGTCCCTCCACCTAAGTGGCTCACTTGTTCAACTGCTGAAACCCTACCAGAATTTGTCTTAAATCTTTACACGTGTACGCACCAAGTTTATAAATAATTAGACGAATAAACTTAGCTCCGGCATAGGAGCTTTGTGACTTCAGGCAGATCGGTCCGCGATGCAACCCGACCGGTCCCATCCCGAGTTTATTTATGTAGATCTAGCTATCTGTGTATGGGGTAGTCGATTGGTAGCCTCAATTAGTATTAAGCATGTAGCTTTAGCTTCCCATCCCGAGTTTATTTATGTAGATCTAGCTATCTGTGTATGGGGTAGTTGATTGGTAGCTTCAATTAGTATTAAGCATGTAGCTTTAGCTTTCAGTCAAATGCAACTATTTACATGTAGTGAAAAGAATGTATTGTATTTGGTTTCCCAAGTAAATAAAGATTATTCAATAAACTCAAACTTCTTCTCAATAAAGTTGGAGTCGATATAAGTAGTTTATCATATCTAACTGTATGAGCATTTCTTTTGTGGTACCCAACCCAACGTGCTGTGTCCTCGAATCCTTTATTAAACGTGCTGTGCACCTTAGACAGTGAAATGAGAAATGATAAACAAGATGGAGACTAAAGTGGTGCTTTCAATTTCTATGAAATTCCTATAAATTACTCTATTGGCATAAAGTTGAAAAGGAAGATGCTCCACTTTTGTAGAATTAGAAAAGACATGAAATTCCTGTAACTTTTTCCAATTTGTTTCTTCCGCGCGACGAAAAGAATTTAAGTAATCGAGGTTGGTGTTCACTTTACCATTGCATCAATCGAAAAGATCTAACATTATAACTTATCATGATCGATAGTAATTGTAAAGAAAAACAACATGAACTAAATTATGACAATATTCATATTAATAGAGACACTTGTACAGAAGTAAATATATGTATCCATATTCGTGTTGAAATTGAAAATATTTATATTTCATCTTATTTCTTTTTTCTATTGACAATGGAATTAACTTATTCCATCCTTTTATTTCCATTTTACTTTTTTCAAACCTTCTATTATATGGTACCATACATAAACCAAGAATATATTTGGTAAAAAAGAATGTGGGGATATGAAATAAAGGCGTGTTTGTTGTCTTTGTTATATTTGATCACTTTTAAAGTCAAGGAAAGTTTTCTTATTTCCCTATTTTATTTTAATATACAATTCACTTTGTTGTCTTTGTTATATTTTTAAATATCAAAGAGCAGAGACAATAATTTTACGAAGGGAGAGCGAAAAAATATTAAAAGTTCTACAGAAATTGAAAAAACATCCTACCCTCTGTGTGCTTCGCCACTATCACAAACTAATTCTCTAATGAAATATGGATCAAGACCTTATATCTCTCGACCGACCCGAATCATTACTCTGAGCCTTACCTATTTTCGACAAATGGCTTCTTGATCAGGCAAACTCTAGTCTACTGTTTTTGTTAAGATTTAATTCCTCTGATTTTATTTATTATTTTTTTATGTAATTTGAAAACTAATAATTGCATCTTGAGTCGAAAGTCCAAGTATTTCATTGCTGAAAGCCAGTGATTTATATTCTCAGTTTAGAGGTTCAAGATTTTGACTTATTTTAGTTTTGCGGAGACACTATTCAGATACTCCCCGGACTGGGGGTTTGATCTTTTCTTGATTGTAAATTGTTTTCGAGTGGTGTTGTATGGTTTCTAGATTTTTCTGTATAGTGTTTGAGAATTTCTTTCTTTTCATATATTTGTAGTTAATAATTGAGAATTTAAGTTCAGATTTTATTGGGTTTTGGTCGTTCTTGAATGGAAAATGTTTATGCAGGACTGGATTCATTGGTTCCGAGTAATGTTTTATGGAGGTTTTCGATTAAAGGGAATATTGTTTGAGAATTTCTTTCTTTCTTTTTTTTTTTTTATAGATTGTAATTCAGATATTTCTCGAGTCCATTTTATTGGGATTTGAAACAGGGGCTTCTGAGAGGTTTTGAGAGAGGAGATTGGTTCATATGAAGTGGTTAGTCGATTCATTGAGAGGTGATTCAAATGTACAGTGGCTGTTGCATTTTCATGAAAATTTTCGTGGATTGACTGAGGTTCGTGAAAGTCGGTTATCCATTTGATTTTGAAATGAGGCTTGTATTTGATATCAAGATTTTTTTTGATCTTTTTAGCTACTCTTAAAATTAATCATTTTAATTCACATAAGATATATATATGATTATTTATTTTTCTGGGATTAATGCAGGTGAATTGTGGCGAATTGAATTCTTTAACTCGAAACTTTGTCATTGTTTTGGACTGCAAATATAATAGAGCGGGGCCATTATGGCTGAAGGAAACGAGGGCGTTGACCTTAAGTTCAGAATCTTTGATGGGACAGATATAGGTCATGGAACCTATGCATTATCAATGACTGTTGCTACTCTGAAGCAAAGGCTTTTTTCTGAGTGGCCTCAAGGTTGAACTTAAATCTTTATTAGGCTTCTATTGTAATAAGTTTTAACTTCCAGGGATATCTACTTGTTTTTTAAGATTTTTTTTAACTATTGCTTATAAATAGATGAGTATAATGTAATGAAATTCTTAAATCTTTAAGGCTTTGGCGGTCCTAGTAATTAGTATGCTTTGGAAGTTATTTTCTGTGGTACATAAAGTTAAATTTACAAGAGCTGCTATTGATATTAGATAATGGGAAGTAGATAAAACCATATTTATAGGATTGTTTTTAATTTTATGTAGATTGTGTTCCCGACTTTTATATGAAATCCTGATTAAGATCTGCATTACAGATAAATCAGTTGTACTGAAGTCAGTGAATGATATGAAACTAATACATGCTGGAACAGTTTTGGAGAATGGGAAGACGCTTGCTGAGTCTAGAATTCTTGTTGGTGACCTTCCTGGAGGATTTATTACTATGCATGTGGTTGTACAGCCTCCTCTTGTTAAAAGAAAAAAAGGTGACTCATAATTGTTGCTTTCGACTTTTGAGATAGTATCTGATTATGCATTTTCATTGGATAAGCAAAGGCGAAGTCAGTGAATGATATGAAACTAATACATGCTGGAACAGTTTTGGAGAATGGGAAGACGCTTGCTGAGTCTAGAATTCTTGTTGGTGACCTTCCTGGAGGATTTATTACTATGCATGTGGTTGTACAGCCTCCTCTTGTTAAAAGAAAAAAAGGTGACTCATAATTGTTGCTTTCGACTTTTGAGATAGTATCTGATTATGCATTTTCATTGGATAAGCAAAGGTTTTTCACTATTGTTTACATTTTAAGTTGTTACATTCTCAGATGATATTGGGCTTGTAATGCTCATGATTCAATTGGTAACAACATTTTAATTGGAACAATACATCATTAGTCATCCACCTTTTAGCAACACTCCACTACCATCCCACCCGAGCAGAAAGAAAAGAGAAAAACGACAATGGGAAGATTTGGCTAAGCTTAAAATGTTTTCTTGATTGGGATGTAAAATTTTAAGAAAAGGAAGTTACTTAAAACACGTTTGAAACAGAAGTAACCAAACACTCTGAATTTCTCGTCTTTGAGAAGTTTGATATGCCATTCCATTATAGTGCTTGCACATACTATAGATCTAATGTAAAAACATTAATTTTCTTGATTGGAATGTTCACTTTATTTTTTCTATTGCTCGTAAAAAGGTTGGTCTTTTACTAATTTTTTGAACGAAGTCGATCTGGTGACTGAACGAGCACCTAGCCAATTTCTAGGTCAACCAATTCAATTGGATCTATCCCTCTCTACACCATCATAGCCCTGTTTAGTTAACATTATGAACTGTGAAATAGGAAGCTTTAAATTCTAATAGATGTAGGAAACCAAATACTCGTGGAAAATTGTCGCACTTTCGGTGTTTAATCATCTTGATATATTGGTTTGAACTATTCTTTTACTGAGTTCGTGAACACTTGAAAACAACTTTTCTGCTTTCTAAGTTTCTGCATGGTGTCTATTCTTGGAATGCAAGTGAATTTCTTCTCTCTTATAGTAGCCCTAACACTTTGTGCCTTTATTGTTGTCCTTGTTTTCGGGTTTAATACAGGTAAAAAGTGGGAAGAAGAGCAAAACCAGATCACATGTGGATGTACCATCCTTTAGAATACACAATGTCGTTTCTTTTACCTTTGTGGGTTTACTGCACAGTGAGAAATTTCTGGCTAGCGTCAACAATGTCGATGAGTTCTTTGTTCTTTATAATCGCTTCTACTTTTGCTAAAGTCTCGCTGTGAGATTCGCCCTCCTGATTTTTTTTTTCGAGAAAGCACGTGAAAGAAGGAGAATTTTACTGCAGTGTATGTGATTTCTAATTACGATCAATGATTTCAAAGATGTCTTTATTCTTTATAATCATTTCTACTTCTGCTAATGTAGCTCTATGGAATCCGCTATTTGAGTTGATGGTGTAAGGGTTTTTTTTTCAATTGTGCTGTATAAAGTTTATGATTTGTGTCAAGGAGCGTGATAACTTGATTTCATATTTATTTTATGTTAGTTCTTTATCTTGCATGTCGAAGCTAAACTTGCTGCCGTATTTTTAGGCATAGTAGGCCCTAATGGGAGACTCGCACGATAGGCTATTAGTTCAGTGATAAAACTTCGTTTCTGATAATTGCGTTGTTGTGTCTGGACTGAAGGGCTTTCAGTCACGTGGATAGTTCAATGTTTCCATCGTTGCTTGATATTGAGACGTGGATCGCACATTAGTAAAGATAATACTCAAGGATCAAATGATCCAACTTGATGAGAAGGTTGATTATTTGGATGGATGAGTGTAGATTGTGGTAAAAAGATGGAGAATAAAAAATCTTTGGTTACCATCAGCTCGAAAATGATCAAACTTTTGAGACAAGATAAGGCGGTGCAATTATCAACAAATTAAATTTTAGATTTGGTTAAAAATAAAATAAAATAAAATAAAATAAAATAAAAAAATAAAATAAAATGAACGCTGGAGACAATGATTGATATTGCATCCAGTTTGGTGTAAAATCTGGTTGGGCCCTCCCGCGAAATAGGAACTGCCTCTCTCTCGTGCTCTATCCTCCAATTATCTACAATTAAATTTTTTATTCATCCAATGTGGATAACATATCGCGATTATAAGATCGCGTTTTCAGTTCAAATCGGAAGGCACTGAACGTAATGAAACAGCACTAAAACCGCCATCTGGAGCCGCCGTCAAAGTTAGTCCTCGTGAACGTGAAGATTGATTGATTTTTATTTGATTTTTGCCTGGTTGGTTACTGATATAATCAAATCTTATTCTGAAGAGCCACCAGCTATTGGCGATCATCAATGGAGGAGCACGACGTCGCCACCGTTGACCCGAAACTGGAAGAAGCCGAAATTGGTGGTGCCAATGGAAGTAATAGTATTTCCAAAGATTTCGGAAAATTGCTTTATGGGTTGAGTTTCCTCTATCCTTTTACTATTTTTCTTTTTCGTTTATTTTGATAATTCGTCGTAATCATGATTCTGTACACGCTTTAATTTGTGGATGGAATAGGTGCGACCATTATAGGAGAAGGTGTAAATTGCGAGCTCCTTGTTGCAACCAGATTTTCACTTGCCGCCATTGTCACAACGAAGCCACGGTTCCCTAACCTTTCATTAATTTATTTTTTGTTCATTTCACCACCAGATTATCAGTCAAGTGAATATTAGTTGAATTATTATTATTATTATTATTATTATTATTATTATTATTATTATTATTATTATTATTATTATTTTATTTTTTTTAATAGAGTGCTTTGAGCAATCCAAATGAACGTCATGAGCTTGTTAGGCATGAGGTTAAGCAAGTAAGTTAATACCTCTTTTCTTCATTCTGGTTTTGCAGTGTTAGTGTTTAGTTTTATTTTATGGCTGAGCCTCATCTTGATAAAATTTTGGTCATTGCTTTAGGTTATTTGTGCAGTTTGTGATGCAGAACAACAGGTATAATATCTGCTTATCCAAACTTCATATTTTTGTAGCATATTATTAAGCACTAGGTTTTGTGGTTTGTTGACGTTTTTGGTTCATTTTCCAAATATGTGTAGGTTTCTAATAACTGTTCAAATTGCGGTGTCAAATTTGGCGAATACTTCTGCAACATTTGCAAATTCTATGATGATGATGTAATGATATCTTATCCTTTTTTAGTAAAAATGGTGATTCAATAATCCTGTTTCAATAAAGAAGATGACTTAAAAATCCCTAGCCACTACTTTCAGATTTGAACAATAAGATAGCATCTCTACTTAATGTATGCTGCTTATTTAATGACATTAGTGGTATGTTTATGTTGCAGACCTTCAAAAAGCAGTTTCACTGTATTGACTGCGGGATTTGTAGGTAAAAGAGCTAATGATCCGGCTGTTTTTTAATGTACTATTCTATACAATGAATAATTCTTCTGATATAAATTGTAATTCACAGAGTTGGTGGTCGTGAAAACTTCTTTCACTGCCAAAAATGTGGTAGGTATTTTAACTTTCATGTTCTTGGTTTGTTTCTCATGATGTATACAACCTTGTGAACGGTTGTTTTATTTTTATATTTGTCCTCTAATATTGTAGCAATTATGCGCATATGTGGTTTCCAAGTGAAATTTTTGAATGAGCAACTTTCATATTTGCCTTGAAAATCTTCATGGTTTTTTTTCTTTTATCAGTTATAATCTGTATAGGATTTGCCATGGAAGCTAAATAAAGAACTGTTTTTTTTTTTCATAGTTATAACACAAGTTTTGACATAATAAAGCTAGCAACATTGTAAAATTCAGTAAGACGAATTGAGATAGCGTCATAAATTTTATAGGTAAATGTGTTTGTGATTTACAGTTAAAATATGTATGCAAATCTATTGTTCCCTACACTTTTCATGAGCATTCCTTTTCCTTTTCAAGAATTCCTAATTTCTTATGAATAGATTGAAATTACGGATAGTCCCTCCAAAAAATAAGAACCACATCCTGAATGTTTTGCTACCCCTACGTTGGTATCCCTGACCTGCCGTTGTGTCAATTACCATATTCTAAGTATCAGTTTGTCTTTAGGCTCTTAAATATTGAATCCTTATGGGTATTCTTTATGCGGTAACAGGATCCTGCTATTCCCTGGTTCTGCGTGATAATCACCTATGTGTAGAGAACTCGATGAAGGACCACTGCCCCATCTGTTACGAGGTTTGAGTCTGGAATATAATTTTGAGCTTGAAGTACTCATTTTCTCATGGAGTGAATGATATTTTCCCTGGCATGCAGTTTCTTTTTGACTCAATCAAAGACGCAACAATTATGAAGTGTGGACACACAATGCACACAGACTGTTATGCCGATATGCTTGACCAAGAACAGTAAAGTCCAACTTCTTCCACCTATTTTTCTTGAATCAATGAAGCTAGATTTTTGCTCTTTTTGAAATAACATGTGGATCATATGCTTGACTTATGGTATAGGTACCGCTGTCCAATATGCTCCAAGTCTGTGCTCAGTATGTCCAGAACCTGGGAAAGACTAGATCAGGAGGTATGATGCCATTTACTGTGATTGGACTTCTTAAGCTTTTCTTCCTTGAAATCCGAAAATGACCTTTTCCCTCATCTTCATTATGTTATCGGTGGGACCATTATAGGAAAAACGGCCAAAATCTTTTATCTCCAGAAATTATGCTCATTGCTTTCCCAAAGCTTAGCCTGATCTCACTTGTTTGAAACATAGCTCAGCTTCTCTTTACATGCATTGTTTATGTGAAATGATTCGCATCTTGTGAGTCCCTCTGTGAGATAAATGATCAACTAGAATTTTACATTTCCTGATTGTTAGTATAAAAATTTGTGAAATTTACAAGATAATTTGTGAATTCTGATAATGGGATTCACATATTCAACATTCCTCAAACTCAAGTTCAGGCTCTCAAAACATTCTTTCCCTCGGAATCTGAAATGGTGACATATTTGGGTCTCCTGTTTTATTTCTAAAAAAAACTTGCCACTCTTGTGGTTTAGCATCTGTGTTTTCCTCTAAAACATTTGGGCCCTGTGATTGTTATCAATATGCAAAGATCTTGAACTGTATATTTCCTTTGATGTCCTGAATAAACACTATTTCTATGTGCATTATAGGAAGTAGTAGTTTAAATATATTTCAACCTGAACTCTTTTCCCTTGCTCTGGTAAGCTATTGGACTTTCCTGGATTTCTCAAATTTTAACCAAATATGTTGAACGAAGATGTAATTATTGTAGGAAATTTGGATATTGTCAGCATTTTTGTGTCAAACAGGTCATACATTAAAGAAACAATCCAGTAGTGTGTGGCAAGATCTTGATACCAGGCATCCTTAAATGTTGGGCTCAAGTATCTCAATGTACACCAGAAAATCTTGTTTATCGCTCACCGTCACTTGCATTCACAACCTATCTGAACATATATTATGTCCAGAATTTTCTCTGTTTTCTCCTTTCAATTCTGAATATATGCATGATACTGCAATACTAAATTCGTAAAATCTATTCTTGATAGATTGAGGCTACTGCAATGCCTGAGGAATACCACTATGAAGTAAGTTTGTTATCCTTATTTTCCACAATTATTTATGTATTTTCCCACATCAATCTATCGACGTTACTTTATCACTGTTAATTTAGTTCTGCAGTTTGAGGATTTTGATGATAGTGTTAAATCCATTTTTTTGTTGTGCTTGTTCTCTCTCACTGGTCATTTTGAGAGTCTAGAATTTTCCATCCATTGACATTGCCGTATTTTCTTTAACGATCTAACTAGTGACATTTTTATGTGTACTTGACAGGTTCTTATACTTTGTAATGACTGCAACACTAATGGAAGAGCATTTTTTCACATTTTTGGCCACAAGTGCGGGCACTGTAATTCTTACAACACCCGTGTGATAATGAATGGGGAGAATCGTCAATGAGTCAAACAGAACCATAATCATCGATGATTCAAACAGAAACAATCCAATGTCAAATGGGTTTTAGTTCTGAATAGACTTAGAAATGTTGCTTATTATGGCTTATCCATTACTTTTTTGATGATTTGGTTGAATGATTTCTTGAACAGAAATTGTGGTGTCCATTTTTGCTTGCAGATTGTGTAGATCACTATTCAGCATTTTATTTTTAATCTTTGGGTCTTTATAGAGGTGGCAAAAGGGTTGAGTAGCTCGTTGAAGCTCGGCCCATACTCGCGAGCGGCTCGTGGCCACGATCCAAGAGCTCATCTCAAAAAAGTGACCAAATATCTTTTGTTAACTTAAATAAAAAATAACTCGAGCTCAGCTTGGCTTGTCTCAGCTCATGAGCTTGAGAGCTTTAGCCTTGACAAATGGGCTTGACTCGTACTAGCCATAGGGCTGGCCCATTGACACTACCGGTCGAGTGCTGCACGTTATTTTATCCGTTTAATCAAATTTGGGGGTTGGATTACATAAATGCGTGCGCATATAAAGCTATCTGAGAAGTTGAAATTATGATATATCCTTTTTGGGTCCTTCGACACATAAAGCATCTTGTCTTTGCACTAAAATGGTATTTGATCAGCTGAAAACGAGAATTTTCGATACGTGGCGGAAGAGCTCAGCTCTTGCGATGGATGAAAAGCTACTATCTGATCGATCATTTTCCCAAGAAATTGTTATATCGAGAAAGGATAAGAAAAATAATTTTTTCTATTGAATTGTCAATTACCTGACAAGAAATCGTATTATATCAAAATTAGGTCTCCATTTCTTATGATTCACCCTTCACGGTAGATGCCCCATTATGATTCTCTCTTTGCCTTCTAATTGTTGAAAACAAATGTTAGGATCAATAAACTTTTATCATGTTTAACGACATGAACTTTTGTACAATAAAGTAAAAGAAAAATAGAATTTTCATAATCAACTCCGAATTGAGGATAAGATGTTAATCTGTAAGCAAATTATGTACTATAACATACAATCACATTCTCTACTCTTTTCCTTCCGCTTTCACTTCTAAGATAGTGTGTAATGTTTATTCATCGTAGATATTTATGTGTTAATTGATTAATTAACTAATAAGTGCTCAAGTAGGCTGGAAAAGTCGGATTTCAACATTCAATTCCTCTCGACATTGATAGTTATTGAATTGCTTGGGAAGAAAGATATGTATTTCATATAATAAATAAATAGTACTTTCCACCTAACATATGGAATTTTCTTGATACGATTTTTCCTTGATCCTCAAACAATTGACTTCCTCCTCACTATTTTCACTTTTGTTAAGTTCATTACCTTTTACAATCATGTTAACTCTATTTTTTAGTATTATTTTTCAATTCTAATAATTTTTTTCATGAAAACCATACGTTTTGAAAGTGAATACATCTCAATTAGGTGTCCCTTTTTTTTCGAGTATAGGTTTTCAACGAAATTTTTATAGCATTCAGAATTATTCAAAACTTTTGTAAACTAATTGAATAGAGAGATTAGAACTAAATTTATATTGTGGCAAGTAGCATCCAGAAATCATACATTTACATGATGCAGTCGTTGATCTCAACCCAATACAGGCCAATAGATTTCAATAGGAAGAAGAAGACGATTATATTTCTTTTGCATCTAATTTTTTCTTAATAGGACTCAAATATTACATAAATTAAAGATTTAGGACCTAAATGTCATGAAAAGAAAAATGTATATACAAACACAAATGTCCAGTTGTCCACGAGTTACAGAGATACTTCAAGTTCCATTTGTTCTTCTTCTTACATGTATCCAACACACGTGAAAAAAGCGATAAGGTTTCTCCTTTAAACCTCTGCCATTTCTGTTCGAAACACACACTGAACTTTGATTACCCACTGCAATTTCATACCAAGAAATATCCACAAAATCAAACATGAATTTTATAAAAGAGCAAGAAAATAGCACCGTTGCTGATTCTCAAGATCGCATGTGCGATTTCTGCGGAGAAACCAAGGCCCTTTTGTACTGCAGAGCTGATTCCGCCAAGCTCTGTTTGGGTTGCGACAGGGAAGTGCACTCGACAAACCAGTTGTTCAAGAAACACACACGCTGTCTCCTTTGCGACAAATGCGATTCTTCGCCTGTTTCTATATACTGTTGTACTGAATCCTTGGTGCTCTGTCAGAACTGTGATTGGGAGAAACATGACAATTTGAGGTTAATCCATGATCGTCGTCCAATTGAGGGGTATAATGGGTGCCCATCAGTGAGTGAGTTGATGAGTATATTGGGGTTTGAAGATTTGGGGAAGAAAAATTCTTTGGGTGATGGGAATGAAGGTGGAAATGAAGGGTTGTTTTCAGATGTTTTGATTTGGAAGACTCCTTCGATTGTGAGTCTTGATGATTTGATTGTTTCGAGTGATAATTGTGTCGATGCTGGACATAGTTTTCAGTCTATTGGTGTTCCTCCTTTACCTAAGGTTTGTTCGTTTTTTGCGAAAATGGTTATCCTTTTGTTTGTAGATATTTTTTTATTCTGAAGATTGGATTTTTAATTTTTACTATTTGATGCTATGAATTGTTAGATTTTAGCGCTTTTACTAGTTCTTTTGTTTGATTCTTTGACTTTAATTGGGGTTTGCCTTGCCAGGTTGAGGTGTTTGTGCATGCTTAAAAGCAACTTTTTTATATCCTTCAGCATATGGGACATGTTGTCAAGAAAAGCGATGACGCTTTTAAACATGGATTTGGAAAAAAAAAAATTTCCATTACTTATTGGTTCTGTTAATTTGGGCTATATTCTTTTTGTCTTTGAAAGGGATTCTTACTTGCGTTCTTTTCAACGAGTTCATTAGCTTTCGAACCATTGGAGTTCTTCTCTTTGAGCTCAGTGCAGTGTTTTGCATTGCACCAGGGTTGCATTAGAATTCAATGCTTTGATAGTGGATACACGGAGATTAAATTTATTGCATCCTAAACTGGCTGTATCTGGATATGTTCCAGTCATATGTTTGTGACTAACTGATGTTGTGTGGTTAATGAACTTGAGCCTTTCGTGGATTTTGACCTCCTTTGTGACATTGTTATTGAATCAGAACCGAAATGCTGCGTGCGGAAAACACAGACAAGAAATACTTTGCCAACTTCGTGAAATGGCAAAAACAGAACCTAACTTTGATGATTTCGTGGAAGACCTTAAACCCCACTTTGAGCTGGAGCCACAAGGAAACTACCAGTTAAAGGATAGCAGTCGAGGCCTTGAACACTATGTAGATCCAGCATTAGGTTCTTTTCACGAGGTAAATCATCCCGAACGCGTGATTGATATTTGGTCTTTGAATTCCTTGTTTTCATTCTTCTGTTGTCGTCAATACATATTTAGTCAGAGCACGTATGACTATGGTGAAAAGTTACTTTGAAGTGTGAAGTAACCTTTTTTCTTCTTTTTTTTGTGTTTACAAACATGTTTGGATATGTTACCTTTTCTTACTTTTTAGTAACTTATTATTGGAAGTAACATATATTTTTCTTTATTAAGCCTGTGAAAGGATATACGGCATTGAGTATAAGGAGGATGGAGTCGATTAAATGGTTAAAATTAGGAAGCACAATTTCAAAGTGGATCTTGTATCTCTCTTTGTAGAGTGAGACTTTTCCTTTGAAAAGTTTGTGATTTTAAAAGGGTGAAAGAAAACAGGAAAAGAAGTGATCGTGTTCTTTTCTTGCAGTTTCTATTGTGCGGTGATAGTGGAGGTGTTGCAGATCAAGACTTTTCTTCTGCCTTATTAGGTAGCTACATTGACACAAACCATTTAGTACCTGATAAAGATTCGGATGTTGGAGAAAGTCCGTTTCAATCAAATGGATGCCAAGAAGGACAATCATGTGTTCCCGTTAATTCTAGACCCTTCGAAGCAATTCCTAAAGTGGCAGCACGTGAACTGAACAGCCAGGAAAGGGACCTTGCTATCTCACGGTACAAAGAAAAAAAGAAAACTAGGAGGTAATGTTGCTTATTCTACTTGTCGTAATCTGAACCGTCTCTCTTTCACTTATTCCTATTCTGCATGTGAATAATCAGTGTATTTTCCATGAGTTTGTTAGGGTACTGTAATCTGAACTTGTGCACTAGTAATTCGTACATCCTTTTAAATAATGAAACCTACGAAGTGTTTCTTATCCTCATGAGGTTTCACCGTTTAGCTCGTTAATTTAATGCCATAACAAGTTGCGCACCTCTTAATATCTTATTTCTATACATGGAATACATTGTCCAGAAAGTTCCAATTTTCATCTTTTTCGGCGGTTTGTTCACTTTACCTAATTCTGAGAAAGAATGAGATATTAGCATAGGAACTGTTGGCTTTAGGTTTTCATAAATAATTCATTGTTCTGCATATTCTGTCGGTTGGAGTTGTGGCCTTCATGTTCTTAAACTAACACAGTTTAGCTTGTGAAATAACAGGTTTGATAAGCACATCAGGTATGAGTCGAGGAAAGTACGGGCAGAGAGTCGAACAAGAATCAAGGGGCGTTTTGCTAAGATTGAACGCTGAGAGACGGCTGCACAACAATGTGTTCAAAAAATCTTGCAGAAAGTAGGAGGGTCATGGGACAAGGAAATTCGTATGCAGATTTACAAATTTATGTTGTGCACTTAAGCACTTGCAATAATTTGTATAGCCTTGGGTTACTATTGATTTAGACTTCTAGTTCATATTGTGGAAATTTAGATGGTAAAAATGAATTTTCTGTATAAATTATAGCATGTAACTATGAAATGTGATGCTTAAGTTTTTGTTTACGAAGATCTTGTTTTTGCTTATCTTTTCGATCCAAGCGTAAAAACGTTGGGTGATTGTATAGGTGGTCTGAAGGAAATGTGAAGATTCATATACCACGATAAATTACGTCTTGATCATGTTTTGTACTTGGTAATATTGAATCGTCGACCTTATCAAGTACCATATTAATATTGGACCATCCATGCAAGTTTTTTGTCTGAAATAAAATATAATCAATTTTGGTGAATCTAAATCAATTTTGAGGTTTTTAAAATTATTTTACAAGAAATTTTTTACTTATTGACCATGCTATACCTCTTGGGGGTTAAGGCTTGGACTGGTTCTTAAACTGGCCCATGACGAGGTAGAACGGGAGCCCATATTCTTGGGCCGAGATTTATACCCGGTTCGGGAATCTGAATTCCACTAGGATTAAGTACAAAATTTACACATGTTCATCTCTGCTTATTGCAAATTAGGGTTAGGGTTTCTCTGTAAAGCAGGGTATTCGAATCAAAATTTGAATTGATATTTGGTTTCGACAGAACAATGAAGAAAGGCGGAGGAGTTTCAGAAGATGCTAAAAAGGGAGGCAAGAAATTCAATGGTCCAGATTCGATCAAGTCCAAAAAGAAGATGGTGAAGAAGAATATGCAGCGATTGGGAGGAGCAGGCCTCTCTCTCGAAGCATTCGCCAATGCCAAAACCAGGAACGACAATTACAACCCTGCCTTAATTAGTATGCACCTCTCTCTAAGTATTCAAATTTCTTTGTTTGATTGTCATCGATGGAATTGAGCTCATTAAAAGTATTAGAATTGAAACTGAGCTCGATGCTGGAAGAATTTGGGTATATAAGTTATTCTTTTTTATTACTTATTCGAATTTTAAGCGATTTTTCCATTAAGGGTAATCTGTAATCTTATGGAAAAGACTTGACCTAATGAAATTCGCTCAATTTAAGATTCAATTGAGATTGTCAAAGAGAAAATGTTGGAATGACGATTGACAGCATGTCGTTTACTCGTTCGACAACCATTATTTAAAAACTCTTTTTTGTAAATACTCGTTTTCAACATCGAATTCACAAGGTGAAATATTCAGCACGTAAACCAAAACCTTTTTCTATTTTTTAATCAAACATTTTCCTAAAAATTACTATTCAAAACATTGTTTTTTACGAATAATGACCATCAAACATGGGCCAAGTTTGGTTAATGTACTGGTTCTCACAGAAATTATTGCTAACTTTGTAAACCTGAGTATATCCGGAATAGTATACGTGGACTTGAGTACGAATCGCAGCCTGAATCCTCCATGTAAATGCTACATAGTTGATTGCATTCCCAACAGGTAGAATTGCAAGTAGATTGAGTCAAGAGCTAGCTTGGCATGTTAAATAAATGAGTCTAAATATGGATTTTGTTTTTTAGTTAATTAATTGCATGAACAAAAGAGTCGTTTGAAAGCTTGTGTTGTAGAGATAGATATGATAGAAAACATATTTTATGATTAATTAGTAGAGAAATATAATTATTTGGGGGAAGTTGAGAATAGAGAGGCACTACTATAGTGTCTCAAACCCTTTGGGTTCTACCAGATATTTTGGTCACTTGACCATGTCAAGTTCAGCAACCAGATATTCTGGACAATTGAGTGTCTTTGTAGATTACGTGGGGGGAGATCGTGATGGGTGCAATGAGTAGTTGAGCAGAAGGAATTTTTAAAAGACCGAAAAATTGGTGGATTTAAAAACCATCAAATTTGGGCCTAAAATTCGAGGGTTTATGTTGGATTGTAACCTGCATTGACCCTGTAATCCAATTAAAAATGGAAGAGTTGTGCTGTGGATTTGATATCCGCTCAATTGAAATATGTTGTTCCAAAAGCTCTCAGTTTCTCGCTCACTGAACCTGATCTTTATATCTTTCTACTTTGATTCGATGATTGATATTTATTTTTGACATTTGGTCGGCAAGTACTAATTACAATGAGTTATGACAATGACTAGTATTTATGTATCGATACATTTTTATTGTATTGCTTAAAAATGTTATTGATTTATGCTTGTCAGAAAAGCAAAGGGAGTTCTACAAGAATGCTAAATATGTTCAAAAATTTAAGAGGTCATTAAAGCAACAAGAGCAGCAGAATGATCCCTCCACAATTTCAAGACCATTGGAGGTGTGAATCTATACTCTGGTTTTTGTTAGGTTCTATACTATTCTCATGTTATTCTTTAATTGGCAATTTGGGAACCAGTTGCTCAATCTGTGTTGCAGCATGAAAGCCAGTTTGTAACCACTGCAAAAAAATTGTAACCAGTTTAATTGTGTGCTGTTTGCTAAACCTGCTATGTAAATGCAGAACTCATATGTGAATATGTTTCATTTGATCGGGAATAAATCTGTGCTGTTGCAGGATGAAAATGAAACTGAAGAAGTTCGAAATGCTGAACAGAAGAACAAGAATGGCAAGAAGAAATCCCAAAGTCTTGAAGAATTGTACAAGAAAAAGCACGAAGAGCAAGAGAAAGCTAGACTAGAAAGGGAAGCCATAATTCAGGCAGCAAAAGAAAAAAGAGAGAAAACTGATGCCAAAAGAAAATCTTTGAAGGAGAAAATGTATAAGAAAACAAGGTCAGGTCAACCCGTGATGAAATACAGAATTGAGCACATGTTGGAAACAATTGAAAAGTTAAACAAGGTAGTTGTCCTCTCTCTATTTTTGTTTATCCTGTAATGCTTCCTCGAATTTGATCAGGGCTTTTCTAAATGTCATTTCATAATTGTCATAATACAATGCCATGGTTGCTGAAAGAGTTTCACAAGAGAATGTTATTTAACCCCACTGGGATTATATCCAGTGAAGGTGGTGTTAATGTGGCATTAAATGATATGTGAAATTAAAAAAGTCATCTAATTTCACATTTCATTCAGCCTATCATCAAAAGCCACCTAAGCTGGGGTTATAACCCTAATGGGGTTGCATAGCATTATTCTTTCCACAATCAGCGTAAATTATTTTTGTACGTGCAAGATATTAGAAAATTACCATCATCGACCGTTATTTTTTTTAGCTTTCTGCTGATTCTGGATTACTGTTCACTTATGGCAGGCCAAAGAAGCAACAAGCAGCACATGAGGTGCTCAGGTTAGAATCAGAGGCAGCCCATGTGAACAGCAAGCCGAGCCATATAAATAGAGAAAAAGTAGGTTCTAAGGAATTCATTTACTGAAAATACGAGAGGGATGAGGGGAAGTAGCAATGCCAGTATGCCTCTCGAAAGTTTGGCAATACTTTTGTAATTCAATTTCATGTCCTTGTAATTTAAATTTAACATGTATGTTCAGTACTAAAAATGTTGATACAATTTTAGTTTAAGCTTGATTTGATTTCATAATCAGTTAATCCTATGTGCATGAATTTAGTTTGTAGAGTTAAATAGCGAAAAAATGTACCTCGCAGTGTCAAGCGGGGATACCATGGTGTCAAGTGGAAGCGTCGTTGCTCATCGGCACGAGTTTTTCTGGAGATATAACGTTGCTCTTTTGCAACTTGTAAGTAGAAAAAAAATTACCTATTTTGAAAATAAGTGTTACCAAACGAGCTTTTGACCGTATATTCCTCTGTTACTCCAGAAAACACATCAAAATCCTTATATTTCATGTCTAAATCAATTGACTAGTTGGCCATAATTATTACATGCTTTGTCAGAATCAATTCTTGCATAGCCACTGCTTTTTCTTTTAAGTAACGTAAATCTACTTGTTGCTATTTCTAAGGGTCCTACTTTTATATGTCTTTGTATTCATATCTGAATTCTGAAGGCTAAAGTGATTGTTATGCCTCAAAGTACAGAAGACGCTCAAAAAGTAATATACCATCTTCATCAAAATAAGAGACCTATGCATAATGCATTCCTGGAAACAAGACACATATTCCACGTAATAATTGACTCTATTATTCCATAACTTGGAATCTCATAGTATTATGGATGAGAAAGCATACGAAGAAATTGGAGATGAACCATCGATTGTATGGTGAAAACTTGGTCATGGCTCTTTTGGTATGACCAGTTAGGTTGGATGTTGCAATGGTGGATTGCACATTAAGTCGAGCATATTTGGTATATCGAAATGGACACTACTCAGACAATATTAAAGAAAGAAAAAAGTGTAAGTCAAGTTGACTATGCTGTACAAGATTATCTAATATTTTGTATTGAACTAGAGATACTTCAAGTTCCATTTGTTCTTCTTCTTACATGTATCCAACACACGTGAAAAAAGCGATAAGGTTTCTCCTTTAAACCTCTGCCATTTCTGTTCGAAACACACACTGAACTTTGATTACCCACTGCAATTTCATACCAAGAAATATCCACAAAATCAAACATGAATTTTATAAAAGAGCAAGAAAATAGCACCGTTGCTGATTCTCAAGATCGCATGTGCGATTTCTGCGGAGAAACCAAGGCCCTTTTGTACTGCAGAGCTGATTCCGCCAAGCTCTGTTTGGGTTGCGACAGGGAAGTGCATTCGACAAACCAGTTGTTCAAGAAACACACACGTTGTCTCCTTTGCGACAAATGCGATTCTTCGCCTGTTTCTATATACTGTTGTACTGAATCCTTGGTGCTCTGTCAGAACTGTGATTGGGAGAAACATGACAATTTGAGGTTAATCCATGATCGTCGTCCAATTGAGGGGTATAATGGGTGCCCATCAGTGAGTGAGTTGATGAGTATATTGGGGTTTGAAGATTTGGGGAAGAAAAATTCTTTGGGTGATGGGAATGAAGGTGGAAATGAAGGGTTGTTTTCAGATGTTTTGATTTGGAAGACTCCTTCGATTGTGAGTCTTGATGATTTGATTGTTTCGAGTGATAATTGTGTCGATGCTGGACATAGTTTTCAGTCTATTGGTGTTCCTCCTTTACCTAAGGTTTGTTCGTTTTTTGCGAAAATGGTTATCCTTTTGTTTGTAGATATTTTTTTATTCTGAAGATTGGATTTTTAATTTTTACTATTTGATGCTATGAATTGTTAGATTTTAGCGCTTTTACTAGTTCTTTTGTTTGATTCTTTGACTTTAATTGGGGTTTGCCTTGCCAGGTTGAGGTGTTTGTGCATGCTTAAAAGCAACTTTTTTATATCCTTCAGCATATGGGACATGTTGTCAAGAAAAGCGATGACGCTTTTAAACATGGATTTGGAAAAAAAAAATTTCCATTACTTATTGGTTCTGTTAATTTGGGCTATATTCTTTTTGTCTTTGAAAGGGATTCTTACTTGCGTTCTTTTCAACGAGTTCATTAGCTTTCGAACCATTGGAGTTCTTCTCTTTGAGCTCAGTGCAGTGTTTTGCATTGCACCAGGGTTGCATTAGAATTCAATGCTTTGATAGTGGATACACGGAGATTAAATTTATTGCATCCTAAACTGGCTGTATCTGGATATGTTCCAGTCATATGTTTGTGACTAACTGATGTTGTGTGGTTAATGAACTTGAGCCTTTCGTGGATTTTGACCTCCTTTGTGACATTGTTATTGAATCAGAACCGAAATGCTGCGTGCGGAAAACACAGACAAGAAATACTTTGCCAACTTCGTGAAATGGCAAAAACAGAACCTAACTTTGATGATTTCGTGGAAGACCTTAAACCCCACTTTGAGCTGGAGCCACAAGGAAACTACCAGTTAAAGGATAGCAGTCGAGGCCTTGAACACTATGTAGATCCAGCATTAGGTTCTTTTCACGAGGTAAATCATCCCGAACGCGTGATTGATATTTGGTCTTTGAATTCCTTGTTTTCATTCTTCTGTTGTCGTCAATACATATTTAGTCAGAGCACGTATGACTATGGTGAAAAGTTACTTTGAAGTGTGAAGTAACCTTTTTTCTTCTTTTTTTTGTGTTTACAAACATGTTTGGATATGTTACCTTTTCTTACTTTTTAGTAACTTATTATTGGAAGTAACATATATTTTTCTTTATTAAGCCTGTGAAAGGATATACGGCATTGAGTATAAGGAGGATGGAGTCGATTAAATGGTTAAAATTAGGAAGCACGATTTCAAAGTGGATCTTGTATCTCTCTTTGTAGAGTGAGACTTTTCCTTTGAAAAGTTTGTGATTTTAAAAGGGTGAAAGAAAACAGGAAAAGAAGTGATCGTGTTCTTTTCTTGCAGTTTCTATTGTGCGGTGATAGTGGAGGTGTTGCAGATCAAGACTTTTCTTCTGCCTTATTAGGTAGCTACATTGACACAAACCATTTAGTACCTGATAAAGATTCGGATGTTGGAGAAAGTCCATTTCAATCAAATGGATGCCAAGAAGGACAATCATGTGTTCCCGTTAATTCTAGACCCTTCGAAGCAATTCCTAAAGTGGCAGCACGTGAACTGAACAGCCAGGAAAGGGACCTTGCTATCTCACGGTACAAAGAAAAAAAGAAAACTAGGAGGTAATGTTGCTTATTCTACTTGTCGTAATCTGAACCGTCTCTCTTTCACTTATTCCTATTCTGCATGTGAATAATCAGTGTATTTTCCATGAGTTTGTTAGGGTACTGTAATCTGAACTTGTGCACTAGTAATTCGTACATCCTTTTAAATAATGAAACCTACGAAGTGTTTCTTATCCTCATGAGGTTTCACCGTTTAGCTCGTTAATTTAATGCCATAACAAGTTGCGCACCTCTTAATATCTTATTTCTATACATGGAATACATTGTCCAGAAAGTTCCAATTTTCATCTTTTTCGGCGGTTTGTTCACTTTACCTAATTCTGAGAAAGAATGAGATATTAGCATAGGAACTGTTGGCTTTAGGTTTTCATAAATAATTCATTGTTCTGCATATTCTGTCGGTTGGAGTTGTGGCCTTCATGTTCTTAAACTAACACAGTTTAGCTTGTGAAATAACAGGTTTGATAAGCACATCAGGTATGAGTCGAGGAAAGTACGGGCAGAGAGTCGAACAAGAATCAAGGGGCGTTTTGCTAAGATTGAACGCTGAGAGACGGCTGCACAACAATGTGTTCAAAAAATCTTGCAGAAAGTAGGAGGGTCATGGGACAAGGAAATTCGTATGCAGATTTACAAATTTATGTTGTGCACTTAAGCACTTGCAATAATTTGTATAGCCTTGGGTTACTATTGATTTAGACTTCTAGTTCATATTGTGGAAATTTAGATGGTAAAAATGAATTTTCTGTATAAATTATAGCATGTAACTATGAAATGTGATGCTTAAGTTTTTGTTTACGAAGATCTTGTTTTTGCTTATCTTTTCGATCCAAGCGTAAAAACGTTGGGTGATTGTATAGGTGGTCTGAAGGAAATGTGAAGATTCATATACCACGATAAATTACGTCTTGATCATGTTTTGTACTTGGTAATATTGAATCGTCGACCTTATCAAGTACCATATTAATATTGGACCATCCATGCAAGTTTTTTGTCTGAAATAAAATATAATCAATTTTGGTGAATCTAAATCAATTTTGAGGTTTTTAAAATTATTTTACAAGAAATTTTTTACTTATTGACCATGCTATACCTCTTGGGGGTTAAGGCTTGGACTGGTTCTTAAACTGGCCCATGACGAGGTAGAACGGGAGCCCATATTCTTGGGCCGAGATTTATACCCGGTTCGGGAATCTGAATTCCACTAGGATTAAGTACAAAATTTACACATGTTCATCTCTGCTTATTGCAAATTAGGGTTAGGGTTTCTCTGTAAAGCAGGGTATTCGAATCAAAATTTGAATTGATATTTGGTTTCGACAGAACAATGAAGAAAGGCGGAGGAGTTTCAGAAGATGCTAAAAAGGGAGGCAAGAAATTCAATGGTCCAGATTCGATCAAGTCCAAAAAGAAGATGGTGAAGAAGAATATGCAGCGATTGGGAGGAGCAGGCCTCTCTCTCGAAGCATTCGCCAATGCCAAAACCAGGAACGACAATTACAACCCTGCCTTAATTAGTATGCACCTCTCTCTAAGTATTCAAATTTCTTTGTTTGATTGTCATCGATGGAATTGAGCTCATTAAAAGTATTAGAATTGAAACTGAGCTCGATGCTGGAAGAATTTGGGTATATAAGTTATTCTTTTTTATTACTTATTCGAATTTTAAGCGATTTTTCCATTAAGGGTAATCTGTAATCTTATGGAAAAGACTTGACCTAATGAAATTCGCTCAATTTAAGATTCAATTGAGATTGTCAAAGAGAAAATGTTGGAATGACGATTGACAGCATGTCGTTTACTCGTTCGACAACCATTATTTAAAAACTCTTTTTTGTAAATACTCGTTTTCAACATCGAATTCACAAGGTGAAATATTCAGCACGTAAACCAAAACCTTTTTCTTTTTTTTAATCAAACATTTTCCTAAAAATTACTATTCAAAACATTGTTTTTTACGAATAATGACCATCAAACATGGGCCAAGTTTGGTTAATGTACTGGTTCTCACAGAAATTATTGCTAACTTTGTAAACCTGAGTATATCCGGAATAGTATACGTGGACTTGAGTACGAATCGCAGCCTGAATCCTCCATGTAAATGCTACATAGTTGATTGCATTCCCAACAGGTAGAATTGCAAGTAGATTGAGTCAAGAGCTAGCTTGGCATGTTAAATAAATGAGTCTAAATATGGATTTTGTTTTTTAGTTAATTAATTGCATGAACAAAAGAGTCGTTTGAAAGCTTGTGTTGTAGAGATAGATATGATAGAAAACATATTTTATGGTTAATTAGTAGAGAAATATAATTATTTGGGGGAAGTTGAGAATAGAGAGGCACTACTATAGTGTCTCAAACCCTTTGGGTTCTACCAGATATTTTGGTCACTTGACCATGTCAAGTTCAGCAACCAGATATTCTGGACAATTGAGTGTCTTTGTAGATTACGTGGGGGGAGATCGTGATGGGTGCAATGAGTAGTTGAGCAGAAGGAATTTTTAAAAGACCGAAAAATTGGTGGATTTAAAAACCATCAAATTTGGGCCTAAAATTCGAGGGTTTATGTTGGATTGTAACCTGCATTGACCCTGTAATCCAATTAAAAATGGAAGAGTTGTGCTGTGGATTTGATATCCGCTCAATTGAAATATGTTGTTCCAAAAGCTCTCAGTTTCTCGCTCACTGAACCTGATCTTTATATCTTTCTACTTTGATTCGATGATTGATATTTATTTTTGACATTTGGTCGGCAAGTACTAATTACAATGAGTTATGACAATGACTAGTATTTATGTATCGATACATTTTTATTGTATTGCTTAAAAATGTTATTGATTTATGCTTGTCAGAAAAGCAAAGGGAGTTCTACAAGAATGCTAAATATGTTCAAAAATTTAAGAGGTCATTAAAGCAACAAGAGCAGCAGAATGATCCCTCCACAATTTCAAGACCATTGGAGGTGTGAATCTATACTCTGGTTTTTGTTAGGTTCTATACTATTCTCATGTTATTCTTTAATTGGCAATTTGGGAACCAGTTGCTCAATCTGTGTTGCAGCATGAAAGCCAGTTTGTAACCACTGCAAAAAAATTGTAACCAGTTTAATTGTGTGCTGTTTGCTAAACCTGCTATGTAAATGCAGAACTCATATGTGAATATGTTTCATTTGATCGGGAATAAATCTGTGCTGTTGCAGGATGAAAATGAAACTGAAGAAGTTCGAAATGCTGAACAGAAGAACAAGAATGGCAAGAAGAAATCCCAAAGTCTTGAAGAATTGTACAAGAAAAAGCACGAAGAGCAAGAGAAAGCTAGACTAGAAAGGGAAGCCATAATTCAGGCAGCAAAAGAAAAAAGAGAGAAAACTGATGCCAAAAGAAAATCTTTGAAGGAGAAAATGTATAAGAAAACAAGGTCAGGTCAACCCGTGATGAAATACAGAATTGAGCACATGTTGGAAACAATTGAAAAGTTAAACAAGGTAGTTGTCCTCTCTCTATTTTTGTTTATCCTGTAATGCTTCCTCGAATTTGATCAGGGCTTTTCTAAATGTCATTTCATAATTGTCATAATACAATGCCATGGTTGCTGAAAGAGTTTCACAAGAGAATGTTATTTAACCCCACTGGGATTATATCCAGTGAAGGTGGTGTTAATGTGGCATTAAATGATATGTGAAATTAAAAAAGTCATCTAATTTCACATTTCATTCAGCCTATCATCAAAAGCCACCTAAGCTGGGGTTATAACCCTAATGGGGTTGCATAGCATTATTCTTTCCACAATCAGCGTAAATTATTTTTGTACGTGCAAGATATTAGAAAATTACCATCATCGACCGTTATTTTTTTTAGCTTTCTGCTGATTCTGGATTACTGTTCACTTATGGCAGGCCAAAGAAGCAACAAGCAGCACATGAGGTGCTCAGGTTAGAATCAGAGGCAGCCCATGTGAACAGCAAGCCGAGCCATATAAATAGAGAAAAAGTAGGTTCTAAGGAATTCATTTACTGAAAATACGAGAGGGATGAGGGGAAGTAGCAATGCCAGTATGCCTCTCGAAAGTTTGGCAATACTTTTGTAATTCAATTTCATGTCCTTGTAATTTAAATTTAACATGTATGTTCAGTACTAAAAATGTTGATACAATTTTAGTTTAAGCTTGATTTGATTTCATAATCAGTTAATCCTATGTGCATGAATTTAGTTTGTAGAGTTAAATAGCGAAAAAATGTACCTCGCAGTGTCAAGCGGGGATACCATGGTGTCAAGTGGAAGCGTCGTTGCTCATCGGCACGAGTTTTTCTGGAGATATAACGTTGCTCTTTTGCAACTTGTAAGTAGAAAAAAAATTACCTATTTTGAAAATAAGTGTTACCAAACGAGCTTTTGACCGTATATTCCTCTGTTACTCCAGAAAACACATCAAAATCCTTATATTTCATGTCTAAATCAATTGACTAGTTGGCCATAATTATTACATGCTTTGTCAGAATCAATTCTTGCATAGCCACTGCTTTTTCTTTTAAGTAACGTAAATCTACTTGTTGCTATTTCTAAGGGTCCTACTTTTATATGTCTTTGTATTCATATCTGAATTCTGAAGGCTAAAGTGATTGTTATGCCTCAAAGTACAGAAGACGCTCAAAAAGTAATATACCATCTTCATCAAAATAAGAGACCTATGCATAATGCATTCCTGGAAACAAGACACATATTCCACGTAATAATTGACTCTATTATTCCATAACTTGGAATCTCATAGTATTATGGATGAGAAAGCATACGAAGAAATTGGAGATGAACCATCGACTGTATGGTGAAAACTTGGTCATGGCTCTTTTGGTATGACCAGTTAGGTTGGATGTTGCAATGGTGGATTGCACATTAAGTCGAGCATATTTGGTATATCGAAATGGACACTACTCAGACAATATTAAAGAAAGAAAAAAGTGTAAGTCAAGTTGACTATGCTGTACAAGATTATCTAATATTTTGTATTGAACTTGTCACGGCAATAACCAATGTCATGAATTAACCTTTGACTTTACACAATTTGAGCAAACAATTTTCACCATTCCTGGGTAGACTGCAAGCAAAAGGACAGCCTCTATGTGCCAAACCTAGCTGTAGAGAAATCAATATAGGTTGCAATGTTAAGGAGTAGTCTCTTCCTTTGATCAATTTGAATTGGCATTTCGAAGTTTGTTGTACCCAAAATTCCCAGGAAAAAGTAGGGCATGCACACACTATATAAACAATATAGATTTGTAGCTATGCATCTTTTACCAAAAAAATATCCTTAATAGTTCATACCCTAACTAGGAGAGGTATTCACAGTATTGTCGAGAAGTGTCTAGTCCGACCTACCAAAGACGCTCCAAGTTAAAGGCTGAAGATGTTGAAAGAGTCGAATAATCTTCTTCTACAACTCTTGTGAAAAAGACGTGCTTAATTTATATGTTACCAAGCACTTCCAATAAAGAAGAAGTTCAGTATCAACGACATAGCACATCATTTAATTGGTGAATCATTAAATACATTGAATCATTAAATACATAAAATTTATCATTAATTTATTCATCAATTAAATGATGCGTCATGTCACTGGTGCTTTGGAGAAACGAAATGTGGGAGAATCATGACCCAATGAAAATGTTTGATGATTAAAATATTTACCACAGGACCCCAACTCTACTCTGCAAAGACAGAAATGCATGCAGCAGCTTTTGCATTTCACTTTTGTTGGGTCACTCAGCAAGTCGGCCTTTTTCTTTCTGGTTGCCGTGGACCATCTCTCCAAAAATCCTTTTATCTTTTGGTTAAAAAGGAACAAAAACACTGGGTTTTGATTTTATTTTTTCTTTTCATAGAATTTTCCTGCCCATTCAATGTGTTGAAAAGCTAGTGCTCTTACTGAGTACACAAGTACCGGCAGTTGTAATTCAAATGGCACATCAGGTGTTTGTTGAAAGGCGAGCATAAAGTCGTCAACACACTGCTATCTCCCCGAATCTATCACATGCCTCTGTCACTAGATGCCCTCTCTCTCTCTCTCTCACAGTCACACACCAAATCTCTGTACCTTATCTTTTCATACAGTGAAATGATAGGACGATGATGTATTAGAAAGGAAAAGCAATTTGTTTAAGAATACTTTAAAATGTCCAGTTACATAATCGAGAACCACAACGTTTCTTCTTCCGTCTGGCAGTCAGAAAAAATACGAAGGCGAATACTAGAGTCGAATGTCGTAATGCGCATTATTTAGCATTACCTCAATGAGGAAAGGAAAAAAGTACAAAACGAGCAGAACATGGAACAAGAAAGAAAAACCATTTTAAAATCATCTACAAAATCTTACCAAAAAGAACACGATATCACAGTATTTTGTGATTTCCGTGTAGAGGGATTGATGTTTACTAATACCAAGAGTGGAATACATAAGCCAGAATCTAACAATACTTGGGGCATAAATGTCAGACAGAAATCTAAAGCACAATAAATTTTCAGGAAGTAGGATTGGCAGATAATCAACACACCGGGATCACTGTAGAAAATCTTTGAACTTGCCAATCTGGTAAGAGGTTTTCCACGGTATCCTCTTTGAGCCGCCCGGCTGTAAGTAGATGAATTTCGAGGGGAGTCTCTTCCTCAACCGCACCGATCGGTTCAAGATGTGGGGAATCACAAACGCCACTATATTTTTGTGCACGACAATCTACTGTTTATTGCCCAAAAAATCTTATAAGGCATGTGAGTATTACTCGTTCTAAAGAATATAAATCCGAACAAGTTCGCACATGGTATGCATAATAACTGTCAAAAACAAATGGTTCCTCGTGGTAACTGGTAAGTGCAGCATTAACATGAGATTCACCTCTTTATTGATTAACTGATTGCAATGAATAGCTCAGCCAAGTGTAAAACAGATGGCATTCGACCATCAAAACCCTGAATTGGCTTGTTCACCTTCCACCACACTGCTATCAGATAAGGCGTAGCAGAAGTAAATGTAGAATGATTATAAGCTCATAGAGCATCTAACTGGTACGCTGCATGGGATTTTCAATCACCGTGTCCTTCTGTTGCTCGAGAAAACCTTGAGGACACGCGTTCATCCATTGTCCAAACAAAACCAGGCATGTCCACCCTAGGTCCTGCAATCGTTCTGTATACATAAAGTTTCTCAACAGGACAGTCTTCTGGCCCTGAATCAGGGGGTCCTCTCTCATTAATCACTTCGACATTGAGCCTGGGCATCTTCTGACCTAGCAATTTGCAAGCTCCAAAACTCACTGAACAAGAAGACATCCAAAGGGATCGCATTGTCTCCAGCTTTGTAGCATTGGCCAAGAGAGCCTTGTCCCCAAATGGACAGTCCCTAATTTCCAGTTTTCGTAGGCTTTCGCACCCAGACAACACGTGATGGAGGCCCAAGTCACTATCCCCAGCAAAAGCTATAGACAGCATCTCCAACTTCTTGGCATGGGTCCCAATATATTCGAAAACCCGATCAGTGAGGAGGCCGGACATGGAAAGCCGCAGCAATTCCTTACAGTTCTCTACAATGGCACCAAAGCCAGCATCAAGCGGTTCGAGGGTTAGGTAATCAGGAGCTCGAGGCTCAATAATACATAGTCGGAAGCGGATCATGTTAGGACGATTCCTTGCAATAGCAACTAATGCCGCATTTGACATCTGGCGGCAGAAGTATAGAACAGACTGGAGCTTGGGGCAACCCTCTGAGACAGCAACAAGCCCTTGTTCCGTCAAAGTTACATTTCCTTCTGCATCATAAGGATCTGAAGGAAACACCCTAAGTTCCTGCAAATCCTTACAAGCAGCAGCAAGGGCCTCAAGACCCACGTCTTCAATGTAATCCAGCACCTACACAATCATTTCTTGGTTAAGTCCAAGGTTGTAATGCAATAAAAGAACTCAGAATGTAGACTAAAATGTTAAATTTCAAGTAGTAAGGACAATCATAACAATCCCAGTCATAAAATTCGTCCAAAGGCTATAGTAAGAGAGAATCATATACTAAAATTCAGAAACTGATGAACGGGTCCGGCTACTTCAAATTTCGGATCTCAAGTTCTTCTATAGCAGCTTGCTGCAAATTCCTTCTGACATCTCACTATTAGGTATATATATATATAGAATAGTTCCATTTACAATATATAAAATTTGGATCAAGAACTCGTAGTAGCCTAGAGCATATTTTGAGGACATAACACAGTCAATGGAAGAAAATTTGAACCTAAAGAGCAGGAATCACACCAGATCTTTCTTAATACGTTCCCCAGGTTTAGGGAAAATCTTTCAAATATTATTTGTGATCTAGTATCAAGCTCATAAACAAAAAATCAGAGTCACATAAGAGTGAGATTCTTACTTTTTCAATCAGTCAATCGATATAAGGACTATAGACTCAAACTTCCCTTTTACTGGGTAATTTTCATTAGCCAAGGAAAAAAAAAAAAAACAGTAGTAACTTTAAAATTCAATCTTGACTCTACCTCTTTCTCAACCCACTCAAAAATACAAACTTGCCTTTTCCTTCAAGATTTACTTCGAAAATTAACAAAACTTTCTTCATCATTTCCATGGAATGCCTCCCTAATTAAACAAGTTGACAATCGTATTTATTATATATCAAAATTGAGTCTATGTTTTCTACCTGCAATTGGCAGCAATATATGCGAGTCCGTCAGTGGTGAAACCTTCACAAGACAAGAGCACCAGCACTGTAAAATTCTTAAACGACTTGGATATCAGCTCCAAGTTCTCATCAGTCACCACCATCCTCTTCAGCTTGATTTCCTCAAGCCAGGGGTAAGCCCCAGCCATGGAAACAACCCAGGGGTACACATATCCACCCCATCCTTCCGGCACCAAATTGAAGTCGGCAAAATGCGGCTTCCCCTTCAACTCCACCGCTCTCACATCTGGAAACCTCCGGATCACGATCTCCGGACTCACCGCATAGCAGTTTCCGATGAAAATCCTCCTTCGACTCAACCTCTCAATATCGTACCACGACTTGCACACCAAAGAAACCGCATTCCGGTCCCTGTCGTGGTTCAAAAACGAGAATACGTGCTCCAGTACATCCTCCGGGAAAGATTGAGCCATCAAAATCTCGTCTGTTACAGTGGAAATTCAGCTCAAATCTAGACGGAGAAAGTAGAAAGAGAGAGGTGGTATGACTTGGAATGAAAAAGTTATTGTAGAGAAGATAAGGTTTTTTTAAGCTGTGATTGGTGTTACCTTGTGTGAGGTTAGAATTTAACCAGGGTTTGAAATTACCAATAGGGCAATGAAACGTGTAGTTAATGAAAGCCACCGGGGGGTGAGGGCCAGGGTTATCAAAAAAGAAAATTTCACTATTGATCCACAAACTTGTGCTCGTGTAGCAGATTGGTATCTAATCATTAACATTGTGTAAATTGACCTCATTATCTCTTATAGATATAAAATATCTCATTTACGTCTGATGATAATTCAAAATGTCAAATCAAGTCAAATCAAAGCCCATTTCAAAACTGTCAATGCGGAATCATATGGACCCATCGACGATATGTTTTTTAAACAAATTCGACGTTTTGGTTTGAGTTTCAATTCCTCACACAAATAACCCGAATTTGAAAGTCATTGGATGCTAATTGCTTCCATATTCAAGCATGTACATTCACCTCACACCATTAATCACATTGTGCTCGCTCGAAGCCTTCAAATAAAAAAATCTAAAGTTTGCACCACCAAATCATACCCATTTATAATAATAAGTTTTCTAGTCCTCTGAAGATGATGATGGGGTTCGTCTCCGAACTCACGCAAGGTGTGTTTTAGGTAGTCCACTTTTTGTCGATTGATAGGAGTGATTTTTTCAAGGTCCTGATTAATATTGATCAATCATATATGAACTAAGTAAATAATCTCATTCTTATTGAATGGTATCAAGTATAGAAATATTTTTATTTCTTAACTTTAATTGATGTCGAGAAATTTAAAGTAAAAAAGTTCTGTTGACATGAAAAAAATTAGTTACTATTTTTTTTTCCTAAATTTGGAAATTAATTTACTATTACAACTATAGATTGGGTGCTAATGGTGTAAATCTTCCTTACCCTGATGCAATGTAGCGCAACCGCATAAAAAACTAAAAACGGAGTGCGTGAGACGAACCGACCCGGATGAGTAAAAGCTGAGGCGATTTTTAAATTATCGTGATAAATTGGAGAGATTAATCGTAGGGATGAAATGCCGCAAGGGAATCTCATGATTCTAAATACACGGCTGGATCTGATGGCTGAGATTTTGAAGGGACCACGTGGGGTCAGGATTAAAATTACTACTCTATAGGAATGATATGATGTGATTTGTATTAATTAATCAACAAATCATAAGCTATGATTAATCACTTAATAATATGTTTAAATAGTAATCTTCTTGAAAAGAAGTTGATCCAATCGCACCTTCTAATACAATTACCTTATTACAATTTCATTTCAGTCAATAATACTATTTTCGACATTCTCTCCTTGTCGTGAAGATCACAGTTTCTTGTATAATCTGCTCCCACAGTGTGAATGTATGCCTTCGTATGGTCGATGGACAATTATCAGCAATTTCGACTTAATGCAAGTAAATTGCAATTTGAATTGAAAACATGTTTTTGGAGGAAGCTCACCCTCATGAGATCATGACATTTTGTTTCAATCATCGTAAAAAGTGTCAAATATATTTTTCATTCTTTTACATTTATCACATAAATCGTTATCTTTGTTACACGTGTAAATCAGGATAAGTGCGAATTAAAAGGATTTGAATAACCATTTTTTAATGTAATTTTTTTACTTTAGTGGTTATTTTAATATTAACTTTTGATGCGATTTGTGTTACATCAGAAGACAGTAAATGAATCATGCACATCACAACGATTGGTTTCATGCTTAAAAAAATTTGTCTCGACTTGCCGATTGGTAAAATAATAACTTAAATTGCGTGCTTAAGGAGCAAATCAGTGTGTTAATATTTTAATTATTGTATAAATATGCAGTGTCGTGAGCTGTAATGCACGTAAAGTTAATTATTTTATGGATTAAACACTTATTTTGATTGTAAAAATGAGATTAAATTAATGGGATTTGATAATCAAAGACCACGCATGGATCGCCGGGAATCTCTCTTGCGATCGATTGTACTTTGCTTTGTATTTTCTCCCAAATGAAAAATAGTGGTACAACTCATATAGCCAAATTCTTTTATCTTTTTTTTTTTTTTTTATTTCTTCAACAATTTTTTTTCAAGTGATAATTAAATTAGAATATTCATTTTAATGGATTTCTATATATACAATAAATTCCATTAAAATCAATTTTATTTATGAAAGAAAAAATTATGAGATATATAAGAAATAATTAATATTTAGTAAATTAAATCTGTATTTTAGATAGATAAAAAATGTACTTTTATGGTTATTGTAAAAAGAGTTCTACAGTTACGTTGTCAAGCAATCAATTTAAGATTTTTTTTTTTTAAATAATTTTTCGGATAGCTTATTAAGAACCTCCTAATTATAGCATGTGATTAGAAATCTAAGTTTGACTATATTAACTTTAATAACCCTCTAATTACATAGCAGACAAAAAGAGTAGTTCGACCAAGTTAACTTCCTCGGAGGGATAAAAACATGAACAAAGGACAATTTGTATATGTAGTAATTCGTAGCATACTTGAACATAAATTTCGAGTCAAAAATCCTTACATAAAATGACTTATTTTTCAATTTGCATTTTTTTTTTTGGTTCTCCAATGATCTAAATCCCAATCACAATGAAAGAAGATTATAATCCACAATCTAAATGCCTAATTTTGTAAGTTTTCATACCGGGTCCTAGCATTTTTCTATTTTTGAGTCATTTTCATACGAATTCTCACTATTTTTTCCTTCTCTTTTTCCATAACTTCAATTATGAGGTTGCATGGAGTTATGTGGGAGTTGTAGGGAGTTAGGAAAGTTATGGATTTGAGTTTTGAATATTCAAAACATTCCCTGCTACACACTTCTAAAATCTTACAAGTCGTATCACTCCACATGGGCGACCCATTACCTTTATTTTTCAATAACATATCTAGTGAAACAAACAATGTTCGATTTGAAGAGAAAATGACACTTTGATATATATTAATTTCGTATTTGATAAGCAATATTAAATGAGATCAAACCGTATTATGAATACGACTACAGTTACAAATACATTATAATCTAACGTGTACCAATGTATGTGGTACATGGGAAGTGATTTTACTAATCTTAAGACGTCAATTTATGATCGAATATTTTTTCTGCAAGCTTAAAATTGTCATCTACATGTTCTTTTATGTACTAATAAATTCACTTCTAATCAAATGCCTTGCACATTTATAGCTTTTCATGAACAGGGTCGTCGAAACGTGAATTGAATACATTTGCTAGTTTCAAAAGTACGTTGAACTACATTATATAAAAGTTTAACCTCTTTAATTCTTTTCGATCTTTTCGTTACAGTATAATTGTAAAATTTAAAATTCTCAAACTTAGTCAAACAAGACAACAATATGAACCACTAATTTTCTAAAAGTTTGGTACCTTGGAAGATGAAACCTATAGAAGATAAAAATTATTATAGGTCCTAGGTAGTTGTTTTAATTATCCATGTCCATGTGCATGCCCTAATGGGTAGGGTAGGCCGGTTCACAATCAAGATTCAAGAAATGGTGGATTTGCAACCATAAGTCTACATCTATAAAGCAATCCTCTTTTCTTAACTTTCAATCTTGATGCACAAATTTAGTCAATTATTTGTTTGTACAATTTGGCATACGCAATCCATTATCGCATAAATTCAACTTCTATTTTGACTCACTTTTTTTTATTATACTAGTAAAAATTGAACGTGTATTCCACGTTATCTTAAAATACATTATAAATAATGTAAAAATAATTTTTAATACCAATTTTTTGGAGAATTGACGGGTATCGGACGAAGTAAAGAAAATAAAATTAAACATAGAAATTTAGAAGAAAAAAATTGTATTATTAAAACTCAATTTCTATGATTCAAATTTTTGTAAAGCTGACATACTGCAAATTAGCAATCTTTTTATATTATATTTGATACAAAAAAAAAATTGTTAATACAAAAATTTAAATAACTTATTAAAATTTCTAGATACATGAATATGAATAAATTAAATCTACAATAACTCAAAATTCATTTAGTTCCAAATTCATCAAATTAAAATTCATTGAATTTAGATTAATGTGAATGTTAGTTTTATAGTATTTATTACATATCGAAAAACGTTTAAATATTACTAGTCAAAGTTGAGCGTGAATTGCATGTTACTCTAAGACACTTTATAAGTAATATTTGATACCAATTTCATGAATATAAATAAATTCATCTATAACAACTCTAGATTCATTTAATTCAATATTTATTAAATTGAAATTCATTGAATCTAGATTAATGTGATTGTTAGTTTTATAGTATTTATTACATGTCAAAAAATGTTTAAGTATTACTAATCAAAATTGAACGTGCATTGCACGTTATTCTAAAATACTTTATAAGTAATGTAAAAGTAATATTTGATACCAATTTGTTGCAGAATTTGATAAGTTTTGGAAGAATTAAAGAAAATAAAATTCAACATAGAAATTTAAGAGAAGAAAATTATACTCTTAAAACTCAATTTCATTGATTCAAATTTTTGTAATGATGACATACTATAAATGAGCAATTTTTTTACATTTGATACATAAAAATTAATTGTTAATACATAAATTTAAACGCCTATCAAAATTTTTAAATACACGAATATGAATAAATTCGTCTATAATAACTCCAAATTCATTTAATTCAATATTCATCAAATTAAAATTCATTGAACATAGATTAATGTGAATGTTAGTTTTATAGTATTTATTATATATCGAAAAACGAAAAGTAAAGCATTGTTGAAATAATTATATTGTAGGTAGGGAAGGAGCCAGCACCCAGCGCGACCCTGCCGGCTCTAGGGGGAAAGGAATTTCATGTTAACGAAGCTATTATGGTAAAAATATAAAACTGTACTACTTTCGACAAATGTTATAGTAGCTCATTTGGTAGGTCGGTGGTTTTCCAAGTGAGAGGCACTTGGTTCGATTCCCCTCCTTTTCACTTCTTCTTTTAATTTTTCAAACACAATAAATAATTTTAAATTACGCTGATATGGT